GACAAATATTTTGTTATACATACAGCTGCTGGTTAGAACACGTTTAATAAAGCAATTGGCAGTGAATATTGAAGACAATATTACTTGTTTTAGAATTAGTTCAGATTGTGTTGTGCTTAAGGCATTCATAGCATTTTCCAGTTTGATTGTGGCTGCCAGTCACATTCTATTAGTCCTTGTGTAACATTTGTATCAAAGCCAGTCATTTTAATTTTGATCTAAAACAAGTAGTAATCTGTAACAGTGAGTGTTGCTCACAAGCAAAACTCCATTTTACTTCAGTTGCCCTTTTAGGCTTCACTGTTGACAAATGAGTCAAATTTCTTCCCCTTATTAAATACTTTGAATTACTCTGTTTAGTTATCTAGATTGGTCAAATGAGAACATGATTTAATTATCACATGTTGTGTGACCTTGAAGAACACTTGTATCTGAGGTGTGTAAGGAGGGCTTTCTCACAGTTTCATTATAATGAAAGTGACAAGCAGTTGGTTCATTTTCTTCTGTTTCTTGTTTCAGCCTCTCCCTCTATATTTCTCATCACCAAGTGCCCCAGAATTACAGGCTGCTACTTACTGAAGTTTCAGTCCAGCAGTTTCCATCTGCTGGGCCCTGATTATGCTATAAATTGTCTGAAGTTATGAGGAAAGCTCTATAATCCAGTGAGCAGGCATGTGAGGAAATTGAAGGTCTCGTCCGGCAGGCTTGCTGGCTTCCGAACTCGTATTTACTTTAGTAGATGCTACATTTGTGGAAGGATTGCAGGTTTGGCTGTATCATGAAAGAGCCTGCAATGAGCAGCATTTCAGGGCCTTTGGATATTGGGTACAAGGCAACAAGACAGAGGCATTGCTTCAGCCAAGTATGTCACACTGAAGTAGAGAAGAGAAGGAATGGTGGTAGACTGGCTGAAAAGAGAACTTCACCTCAAGGGAATGACTGATTCTGATAGGAGCAATTCTCTATGAAAAAGAAGTTTTGGAGCTCACAGTAGTGGAACCAAGCAGAAACCAAACTTTCTTCATTCTGACCCACCTTTGTCCTCTGCCAGGTGTCAAAGCTCTTAAGCTCTGAGTGCTCGAATAAGTTTTCCACAGTAGCGGATTTTGTTATTTTGAGCTGAAAACATCAGTAGTGGGAAATATTTTGAGGCTACTGTGGTCCCAAGTAAATGTTTGATGTACAAGGCCCACTATTTCCATGGCTTGTGAAGTTCCATGCACTGCATAACATTTGTGCTGGGTAGCATAGTTGTCTCCGTCCAAACAGAAATGATAAAGAAGGCACAGGTAGGCTACTGTAGCTTAAAAGCATAACCTTACTTGGTCAAAGGAGGAATTCTTTCACTGGAAGACTTCATGTTTGTTTCACATGTTCCTAAATACATACATATATAAATTGCTCACATTTTTCTTAAGTTAGCTCATTTAAAAGCTGATAGTACAATAAAGAATGTATCTAATTTTATATATTATAAATTGTATATACTATGGTATTTTTGAATTGTACATTGAATAATATCTCATTTATAAAATAATGTATAAAGATTGAAAGGATTTAGTGTTCTAGGTCAGTGTCTTTAGTGCTCTCTTTGGTACTCATGTTTTGCAGGACTTAGTACTCAGAAAATTATATATAAGCTGTCTCTGTCCTAGTTTTAAGATGTCTTGTTAGATTCCATGATGTGCTGTCTCAGGCCAGGTAGCTATTTTTTTTTCATCTTTGAGAACACAGTAGGCTACTGCAATCTTTTTCCTCAGTCATAAATCCACACTGAAGTGTATAGCCAGCTGTTGACATACTGAACAACACTTAACATGTTTTCAGAAGTTTCCATTACTCCTACTTTAAATTAAAAAATGGATAAAACATAACATCCAGAAAGGTTCAAGGCATGGAAAAATTGTGAAACAGTAGTGCACTGTGGAAAAGGCACTTACTTGTCCTCCAAAATTTGGTTTGCTTCTGCCACTGACAGACCTCCCCTGTCTGAAGGAGGTTAATGCCCCAGCTGGACAGCCTGACAGAAAAAGATTCCTCTTCACAGATTCAGGGGAACTCCATGTGGATTCACAGATTTGTCTGAGCATGTCAAGCTGCTGGAACCAGACCTTATATATGTTAGCATGAGTTGGCAGTCTGTAGTGGGATTGGATAACACAGGACCTCAAACAATCTGTTTTAGATAATAATCTTGGGAATGTTCCTTGTAGTAACCTACTTGGTGCATTCGGCTTGTTTCTTAAATTCATGGTGTTTTGTCAAAACCTTTTCTGCTGCTTCTTATGTCTTGATATATCTGGTGCTTCGGAGCAGAAGTTTAATTTACGAACTGTTAAAATGCAATAGCAAAATTAAAAAAGAAAGTGAAAATTTATTCCTTTTGGTGCTTTAAAAGGGCATAATTTCATTATCCTTTTTTCAATGGAAATTTGGTTTCTCAAATAGTGGATTATAAGCCAAAACTGGTGTTTAGAATGTTGGTTTGGATATAACAGTATAATTCTCACTATTTATTAACCAGACATTGCTAAATGCATAAGCAGTGGAAGTATCTTTAGCCACATGAGTTTTCAATACTCGGAATACATGCTGGCTGTCACTGACATTGGTGCATTTTATGTCCAGAATTCAGAGCGCTTCTTAAAAATCAGTTGCTGTGATTCAACAAAGCCACTTGCGTCAGTTTAGCGTTGGAAGAACAGTTTTGTCTGCAAGAAAAATTCATGTTTGTCTGCAAGAAAAATTCATGTTAGGCTTGAAGTGGTATACATATGCCAGGCTTATGTGAGGGAGATGTCCAGGTTGTTATCAGTGTTTACCCGATCACTTGTGTAGCTACAGCAACTGAGCACATAGATGTTTTCACTACCTGGTGGTATGTCTGCCTTAAAGTTTATTTGCAGTTCCTCAACTGAATGTTTTTGAAATAGTTCTTTTCTTATACCTCCATAGTGGGCAGATGAGATCAGATATCAATTAGGCATAGGAAAAAATAGTGATACTCTCCTAACAGTTTTCACTGCTGGTACCTGAAGGAACTGTCATCATAGTTTGCTGACATTCGTAATAGCTTTTGCATACTTGCTTCTGCAAAATAGAGAATTAATGCTGCAATTAAGTGTTTATGTTATCTGAATTTACTTAGTCCCACTGAGGTAATCTTATTGCTCACAATTATCAGTTTCAGTATCTGATATAATGATCTCATTCATGCTTAGACTAGTTAACCTGTCTGGACTTGGGTACAGACATGAAGGATGCATGCTCTGGAGCAATCAGATTTAGGTTAAGACCCTCCCTTGTTTCAGAAACAGTGCCACAGGTTGGATGGTACCTCTGTCTCCTCAGGCTTGGCATGAAGCAGACAGTCTGGTGGTGTTGGCCAGGACCACTCTGCAGGACTCTCTTCCTGTGGGAACATAATACCAGAGCTTATAGTGGCTCAGGATTCGCTTGAACCCAGATGTCTGACATCCAGACTGGATGCAGTCCAGACTGTCAAGGTTCTTTCTGCACATCTGGCAAGCCCAGTTGCTATTTGGTTTATATTTTCAATACTATTTAAGCAGCAGTATACCAGTAAATGATTTATTTTCTAGTAAAATCTTAGACTTCAAGTAACAAGAAGACATTATGGAGAGGAATTTGAAACTGGTATCTTCCAGGTGAATACAAACTCTGATGTTACCTTTTTGAGTAAATAACGGAGTTTCTAATGAAAAATGCCTTTAAGAGGAACACTTACTCTTACAGTCACTATGTAAGGAATGTGTAACTGAAAGCTGCAGTCTGTTCATACATATATTTTCCAAATTTATAATAGAGTTCTACTTGGAAAACGCTGTTCTTTCTGATGTCTTACACAGGATATTTTATTTTGTAAGTTTTATGTTGTTACTTGTTTCAGGAGTGAAGAGCAGCAGGGAGTTGATGTACAAAACAGTAGCAGGACAAGAGCTTTGACCAAGACTACAAAGGCAAGCTCTGATCTTAGAAACAGCTTTATGATATTTAGAACAGATACAGAACAAGTGGTCTTGTGGCTGATCATAGAGATCTCATTGGAGGGGAATAATGTCTTGAAGACTCATGCATAGTACTTGTTTTACAGATCAAAGGTGTGGTAGAAATTTGTTATTCATCAAGGTGTGGTATGAATGGAGAAGTTGCTTCTTCCAGGCTTCTATCTAATGAACAGCTCTTTAATTATGTGTAGAAAGTTCATATATTCAGAATTTTAAAGGTATGGACATCAGAGTTTCTTATTTAGCACATAAAGGTGTAGAAGTCTGTCAGGGCTTATTCCCCAATATTTCTGTATCTGAAAGGATCTAAACCCTGGATTTTCAGCTAAAGTTCAGTTTTAATTGCTAAAGGTTCAGGAAATTGCATAGTTGGCCTGAAATCTCCCCTTTCTTCCATAAACCGCTTCCTGTTTGGAAGAAGCTGAGTTCACAAATGTGAAAGTTATGAGAATAGAATATCTACAGTTCTGCACTGCAGTATGAGGGGAAAAAATGTTCATTTGTTATGGAGAATGAGGTTTAGTGCGCAGCCTGCAGCAGCTTGTATTTGCTAGATTTGTGGCAAGACCTTTTAAGGAATAAATGCTTTGTAGACAGTGTATCCTGAGTTAATATAAATAATTTGATTTTTATTAACTAGCTCAGTTTTGGCATTAAGTATCTGGATATAAAATAGTGAATGGTTTCTTTGAATATGTGTTCTAAAATTAATCCTTCATGCCATTTTTCTTTGATGGAGTGTTTGGCTTTAAGCATCTAGTGGTGTGGCATCATAGAGCAAGGCCATTTTGGCTTGGCATCACTTTTAATGGATATGAATCATGTAGTTTTGGAACATCTCTGTGAAGAGATTATTTGTCCTATACTGAGAATATCTCTTGCTTTCTTACTACATCCACCAAAAATGATGTGAAAGAACTCCAGAAATAGGACGGGGATAATTAAATATTTTTCTCATTGTTGCTGTTTATAGACTTCTACTCTTGCTCACACTAATGTAATAAAATCATAGAGTCATAGAATGTTAGGAGGTTGAAATGGACCTCAATGATCTTCATCATCTAGTTCCAACCCCTCCCACCAGAGCAGGCTGCTCAAGGCTTCATCCAACCTGGCTGTGAACACTGCCAGGGTTGGGGCAGCCACAGCCTCCCTGGGCAACCTGTGCCAGTGTCTCACCACCCTCACAGGGAAAAACCTCTTCCTAATATGTTATCTAAATTTTCCCTCTTTGAATTTATACCCATTCCCTGTTGTTCTATCACTGCAGTTCCTAACAAAGAGTCGATGGAGAAGAGCTGTGCCATGCCTTATTTTCTGTGTTGACTTATAGCTGTGGATTTCTTCACAGAGATAGGTGACAGCAAAATGTTTTTTGAAAGTGAAGCTTTTTAATGGGAGTTTTATATTGCCTTTTTTAAGTTTTCATTTTCTTATTTTCTTCTTTAAGCATGGAGTCATTGCTACAGAAGATGACGAGTATTTTATTGAGCCCTTAAGGAACATAACAGAAGATTCTAGTAACTATAGCTATGAGAATGGTCATCCTCATGTTATATACAAAAAATCTACCATGCACCAGCAACACCTCTATGATCACAGTCACTGTGGAGTCTCAGGTAAATGAATATGAGTGTAATTACTTAAACAATTATGACTTAAAATGTACTTTAAGCCCTTGCTTTGTTCACACGTAAGACGCATTGGAGAATGTAGCAGTGGGAATCCTCCTTTTGGGTGATGCTCTTGGAAAGTAGTTTTGCTCTTTTTTTTTGCTTTTTTCAGATTCAGATTGAGAGTATAGTGTCTTTCAGAAACTGAGACACTGGGAGTAAGTCTTGTTTTGTGTTGTGTACAGTGGTAGTAAAGAGCACAGGCTTCCTCAGAATGTACTGTAAATGTACTTCATTCCCTAACTGGAAAGCATGATTGAGTGACTGTGTTACAGCTCAATGTTCAGTAGGTGTTCCATCTCATCTGAAGAAACTTGATAGGCAATAAATATGTTATCATTGTGATTAGTAATCTGAGTCCACATCTTTCTTGTTTATGGAGGTTTGTGATGTTTTGGTACTGGTTTTTGGTTCAGTGGGTTAACATTATTCCATAATAGTCAAGTATGTGATCCACATGTGCCTTATAGAAAGGATTATATAGTTTTTGATAGAGCGATATTTTCTTTGTAAAGAAGTTTTGACTTCTACAGATACACTTTTCAAGTACTCTGACATGATTTTCACTAGCTTAAACTGAAGCTGAAAACTAACTTCTTGAAGACAGCATGGAGTAAATCTGACAAGTTGCTTTAGAGCACAAAAGTAATGGGTTTTAAACATACTAGAAAAACTTCTAACCTTGTCATTTGTTTATATTTCAGAAATAGCTTGTTCTTAAAATTTCAGTTCTGGACAGTTGTATTCAGTGAGATTCAGTGCACAGGGCAGGCTGACAAATACTAATCTCAAAATAAAGTAATATCACCGTTCATTGATGTAACTTATTTCAACCTCTTTTGATGTTCATAACATTTACTGCCATGAGCTGTCTAAGCTTACAGTACAGATTGTCTACAAAGGCCCATTCTTGGAGACAGGGTTTTTTTTCTGAGTGTTTCAGTTAATTGTGTTTACGGAGTGTCAGACTTCATGTATGTAACTTCTGTTTTAGTTTGAAAGCATTAGTCAATCGATGTGTTTCTAATATTGCAAAACAGGTCTCCTAACTGTTACTGCCTGCGAACTGATTGTAAAATGAGGGTGCTAATATATGTTCATTTTGTAGGGGGAGCTGTCACTTAGGCCTCTTGAAATAAGTGGAAGGATTCTGAGATGTAGGATGATGCAATTTTTACCGCTATTATATGCTTGAAGAAACAAAGAATATTGACCTCTGTCAGAACTTATCAGCTAGACTAATGCTTAGAAGTCATTCTCCTCCAAGTCACGAAGCAGTGGCATCTAGTTTAGTCAGGCTGTGTTTAGTTATTCTGGTGGTATCTGTCACATGGATCATAGGTTGATCAGAGCTATGCTTCTTGCACGCTTTTTTGTAAGACATGGTGTAATATTTAGCATTTATTCCTTTGCATATTTGATGATGTCTTTGTTCTTGGAAGCTCCTGTGTGCTTCTGTGTTTTCACATCTTTCATAAACCAAACTCCTTAATTATTGAAATGCTAAAGCACTGTTTTTGACAAGCCTGAGCCTCCTATGATGCTAGTTCATCTCAGTTTCTACTTTTCCTGTCGTTCTGTATACTCCCTTCACTCCATGAAAATGTGTAAAAAAATTTGCCCTCTGCCAAGACTACAGGGTCTTACTTTTCCAGATGACATGCTCTTTTATCCTCATGGTTACCAAAACCTTCTAAACTCATTTTCTAAGCACTGTTGCAGCTTTACCCCAAAGGGACATGGCATCCAAAGCATCCCCATATATCAAAAAAATAAAATATCTAAAAAGTAAAGTCAAATATTAATTTTCAGTATCACAGCTTTCAGCCCCTAGGATTAAAGCCAGGTCTGCAGAGATCTTCATGGCATTTGACTGGTTTTGGAAGTTTTGAACAGTCCAATTTTGTGTTGTAAAATGCAGTTGTAACAAACCTGTAACTGCCTTTTGGCAGTATATAATTTGTTTTGTCTGGAGGCTGATTTTTAGCTTTACCTTCAGAACAGTTTTGCCAATATTATGTTCTGTGAGGAATTTGCTTGAGTAGCTGTGCCACTATTCACTGTCTGTCAAGTTTCCTCTACTGTAACCTAGACCTAAATTTATCTTGTACCTGTTCTCTATCAGGGAAGCAGTCAGGATTTTGAAGTGTTTATAGAGACAAGGGGAGTGTCGTTTCTGACCCTTCCGAGAAAAATTAGAATATCTGATAGAAATTAGGGTACAGAATTTGGTCAAGGATGATCATAATTGATTGGAATGAGTAAGTGATGAATTTATTCATTGTAGATAGTAGAATTATGGTAGCTAAAAGAATTGGAGAAGCAAAGGAGATTCAGATAAGAACATGGGATAGATTTTCATAACCTAAAGATTTTAAGCAGTTAGACATTAGAATGTTTAAAAACTAAAAAAATATTGTTTGTGTTTCATGTATGTATTGTCACCAAGGTAACTGTGTTTTATTAAGTACAGCTGAAATCTTTAAGGCCTTGGTAAGAAGTTGCCCACTGCCAAATTCCAATTGTTTTAATGGGTTTGAGGCCACCACTTGCAGAATGCAGTGTTTGGATAGGATTGAGAAACAACAAAGGTTGACCTATGAAAGCTGCAGAGTGGCAGATTATTTAGGGATAACTCTCCTGTATCCTGCTGTAGGTAGTGGTTTCACTTGTGTCAGACTTCACAGTTGGTGTATTCTAAAATGAAATAAAAGCACTGAAATGAAAAGATGCATGAAATAGTAGTGTTAAAATAGTCAGAAAAGCAGCATAATGTTTTGCTTCAAAATATTCACCCAGTTTCATCTTGCATTAGTAGTTTGCAATTGCATTTTGAGATCTTTTTCTCTGGCTGTGCTTCTTTATCTCCACCTTCATGCCCACCCAATATCTTTAGAAGACTGACTTAGGAAAACTTGGGTACCATAATTGTGAGCTCCATGTCTACATGGGTTTGGAATTCTTTCCAGTTACAGTTTAAAATCTAATTCCCTACTTTTGTGGTAATTATTTTTGGGTTAATTACAGTGTTTTTCTGTGGTTTTATTTCGCCTTGTTTTTCCTTTCTATTTTTACTTTTTTTGACTTCTCTTTGACTACATTTCATGTTGATCAAGTGTTTTACTTTTTTGACTGTGGTGGGAAAATGACATAACTTGCTGCATAACTTTTTGTTAGCTGTATCGCAGATCTTTATTGATATGTTTTAGCTTTTAAAAGAAAATGTAGTCAGCATTATTTAGTGTTTTTAGAGAAAAATAGCGCTGATAGATCCTGGAGTGCAAATCTGAGTACTCAGGATTGTTTCTAGCTTTCCCATTACTTTGAGACCAGCTGAAGCCCAAGCTTCTCATCTGATAAGAAAATGAGAAATGTTTGTTTTTGTGAAGTCCTTTGAGACCTTTGTTTGAAAGATACTATCAAGATGAGTCCAAAATAATCTTTTTTTTCTCCCTCTGAAGGTTTTCTGCATGAGCTCATCAGTCTTCAAATGCTTAGAATAGATTTGCATCTTTGAGTGAAAAATTATGAAATAATGTGGAAGCAGTGTTGCATTTCTAAAATACTTCTAGCACTCCAAGAGCATCAGAAACATCAGCATTTATTGTTCGAAAATGAAGAGTGAATTTTAAAAAAATTTAGTACAGAAGCTGTCAGATAGAATTCCAGACATTCCTAAGTCACTGCTTAAGCAAGGTGAAAATCTCTGAACAATTGAAGCAAATTTGATTTTTTTATCCAGTAGAGGTGAAAAGCAGAAAAAAGCTTAGTTGCCATTGTGGAATCCACAATAGGCTTTAGTACTTGATACAGGTTTTTTTTTCTAGAATGGATTCTACCCTTGGCAGAACGAGGACAGTTCTGTTACTGGCACTTTTTCAACTAGCAGGTTTATTTTCATTTTTTTGACTTTTTCTAAAAAATGCACCTTTCAAAGCCAATGCTGTGGCCTCAGAAATTATGAAACACTGTAACAGTGGGCATGCTGAAGCTTTATTTTCCTGGTTTTGACCTGAATGTGCATTCTTTGTGGCATAGTTATTGCTCTTTGAAAACAATGTGCTTAGTTAAATTGCATAAAGCACTGATTTTTCACGGGAGCTACTGGTTCTATCTCAGCTCATCCTTAGCTGAACTTAGCTACTTAGCTGTCTCAGTAGAGGTAAGGATACGTCTCAGGAACTGCTCTCTTGAGCAGTCCTGTTCAGAAATTATAAATGTATCTAACCGTTAACCTCTTTGTACTCATCTGTAACTGCAAGAATAGCTTAAAACCAAACTAATAATATACTTTGCCAAACTTTAATTTGAGACCTGTGTTGGCCATTGTGGAAAAGGGATATTTAATACACACGAACCCCCCTCAGTTTTCAGGTAAGGATGGGTTCAATTTTGTCCTGAGGACAGCAATTCAAGTTCAAAGTAAGTTTGTAGTGTTTGTTTTTGCTGATAATTACAGCTCTTTGAATTCTTAATAATCTCTTCCATACAAGAAGCATCTTTTCTATATATTTACGTGAAAGAAATACAAGAATCAACATATTTGATAACTAAAATGAATGTTGCCATAACTACAGGAATTATCCCAGGTCAGAATTATTTAAAACTTCCCATTGTAGTTAATTCACAAAGTAGGTAAAACATAATCTGATAGGTTTCTGAAGAGAAAATGGATATCTTTGGCCTGAAAACTATTAGGCATGTAAGCATAACTGCCTAACAATTACAGACTTTCACAGGAGGATAAAAGCTTTTTTGGTGCCTTATCAGTGTGCTAAATTTCTTAGTAAATTTCTATAATTTTTACATTAGTTTTGAATTTTTTGTTTCTAGTATGTTTGGATTTTTTTCCAAATATTGTAGCTGTCTTGTTCTTATTCTTGGAACTCTGAAGTATGCTTGTGGCTAATTATAGCTTATCTTTAGTATTAACATAAACTTGCAGTATCAGATAAGAGAAGACTGATGAATTATCATCCTAATTCGACTTAAGGAGAGTTGAGGATATTGGAACTCAAAGTTGGCTTTCCCTTGCATAAGTTAATTAAAAATAATTTAAAAATTAAATAAGTTTAACTTTTCTTTGCCTCAAGAAACACTTCTCTCTAGAACCTTGAAGATGGCAATCTCAGCATAAACCAGCTGCATCTGAATGAGTTTTACTAGTGACCCCTCTGAAGTGTTTAATTGTTTTGGTTCCTAGAAGACCTCACAAGAAGCAGTAAACGTTGGTGGATGAATGATGCATCTGCTTTTCCAACTTCACTTCCAGTCAATGATACACTAAGTAGTCATAGTCGGCAGAAGAGATCTGTAAGCCTTGAACGATTTGTGGAGACGCTGGTGGTAGCAGACAAAATGATGGTGGGATACCATGGTCGCAAAGACATTGAGCACTACATTTTGAGTGTAATGAATATTGTAAGTTTCATCCTTCTCTGCGTTCGTATCAAAGTGCATGTTCTGAAATGATCAAGAAACTGTGAAGTATTTATTGCCATGAATAATGCTTTAATGTATGTATCAGCTTGCAGGAATTAATGGTTGAAATATTGAAGATCTTAGCATTATGGGGAAAATGCAGTATTGTTCCTGTCAAGAAGTATGCTGTGATCACTTTTAAATGGTTGTCTTTATTTCTGGATTCAAATAATTGCATTCAGATAATACAGCTGATGTCAAGTGTTTAAATGCTCCTTGTGCTGGATGAATTATAAAGAGTTTTGGTTAAAAAGTGTGACTTGAAGTTGTTTTTTGTTTTACTGAATCATCATTTTTTGCTCAATAAACCCCTCGTATTTAGGTGACAGTGATAATTAACATTATGGAATTGGATTGAGTGTGGAAATTGGGTTAATTTTTGACCATTCAGGAAGCAAGTAGTGTTTCTTGTCTGACTTTGTGCCTTTTCTTATTTTCTGGAGGTCAGGTTGCCAAACTTTATCGTGATTCCAGTCTAGGAAACGTTGTGAATATTATAGTGACACGTTTGATTGTCCTCACTGAAGATCAGGTAAGACCCGTTGCACTAAGCTTTATACCTCTGAAGTACAGGTTATATTACTGTGTAATACAGAGTTCATTTAATTATTGCTTGAAATGGCTGCCTATCACGTAATTTTTCACTACTTTAATCAAGATGAAGCAGTTCAAAGGAATATTCCTCGTGTATCACCTCAGAGATATCTGTTCTTACTTCAGGTGAATGTTATTGCACTTTCGGGGATGTCAGTTTTATTTTAGATCTGTATTTTGATTTTTTCTTTTTTTTTGTTCTTTATTCTTTTGTTTGTATTGACATAATGATTATTAAAGTTGGAGCAGAAAGAATGCTGGTTCAGTAATACACAGCTGAACTTGGGGTCAGATTTTACAGAGATAAAATTTGGCAAGAAGACTTTATTCCTAGAAACCACTGCTTCTAATTATAGTCCCATTTTAGTTTTCAAAAGGCTTAACAACTGACCTTAGTAATTTGTTTGGAACATTTCTGGTATGCATGTTGTATTGCAGCCAAACTTGGAGATAAACCACCATGCAGACAAGTCCCTCGATAGCTTCTGTAAGTGGCAGAAATCCATTCTCTCCCACCAAAGTGATGGAAACACCATTCCAGAAAATGGGATTGCCCACCATGATAATGCGGTTCTTATTACTAGGTATGGTTATTATAAGTATTGTGTTTATTTTATTTCTGTAGCTTTCTTGTTCTTAGCATATATATGTGTAGAGGCTAGTTGCAAAGTAATATAATTGGTAGGTAACCTTAAAAGGAGGAAAATTAATAGATGGCTTGTCTTAAATATATCAGACTTTCAAAGTATGGATTAAGAGTTTGGAAAGGTAAGATCTGAAAATCACTTGCTTCTGCTGTTATTTTCACTTCATAATTGCCAATGCAGAGTGTCGCAGTAGAAAAGATGGTACCTATTGAACATTTTAGACTTTTGTAATTGAAAAGAAGTCCTAAGATTGTGGAGAGCAAAACAGTGTGGAAAACATTTTGTTAGCCATACAAAATGCTTTTTATAAGAATTTCAAGCCAGAACTTCAACTACTGTAATACAATTTCTCTGAAAAACAGGTTCTTGCAGATTCCGGCAACATGAGACTCTGCTTTGTAGCTGGTTTGATTTATTATGCTTAATTAAGATGAGAACTGACAGTTTTAATAGGTAGTTTCAAAGCCAGAATATGTGCCCATTTGTTTGCTTCTGTTTCACTGTTACTGTGATGAATTCAACAAAGCCTGCACTGTAATCTTGCAGTCCTGATTAAGTTTGTTGGTGTCTGCCCTTTGCAGTTAGGGATAGGCAACTGTGCTTTATTAGGAGATCAGTTTCACCATTGTTTACAGTCAGAATTTATTCCTTTCTGTGTTGTTTACATAGCAGCAGGTGCAGCAGCACTAATTTGGATTAGGATCTTTTTATTATAGTTTCTGCTTTCCAGGACAGATTCTGTACTGCTTTGTATGTAACCTATTTGTGGAATCACTGCACACACTGCAGAAAAAAAATTAAATAGTGATTAAAATCATGTATCTTTTATAGCATTTTATATTAAAGCTGTAAAAATTGCCATTTTTTCTTTTCTAGATGGGTGGTTGGTGGGTTTTGTTGGTTTTGTTTTGTGTAAAGAGCAAATTTTTTATTTCTGAGAGGAAATAAAAGCTTGTGAATCCCTTGCATGTATTTTTTGTATTCATATTTTTAAATGCAATTGTTATATTTGGTCTCTAATTCTACACAAGAAAAATCAGAATGAGAAAATACTAGAGTGATTCAGAGAGTCCAAGAGGTTTTAAAAATAATAATTCAGGTCTAATACAAATTGAATGAAATAAGAAACAAAATACAGTTACATTCTAAAGTCTTCATTTTTCATGAAGGCTTTTGTTTATGCTCAGTGTTTTGCATACAAGTAATTTCTTCACCAGGACTGCTCACATGTGAAATTAAATACATCTTGACAGCTGTGATGCACATCAAGCTTTTGCTGGTATAATTTAGGGGAGTGAAAAGTGTAATCTGTAGGTGGTATGGTTGTGCCAGTTGAAGCCCCTCAATACATACATGTTTAAACTGTGTTGGCAACGCTGTTGTTTATCCTCTTACGGCTGAATAACGTGACATGTTGTTGCTCTGGTGCTGCAAATCACAGTTGTTTTGTTTCACTGTCGTGTTTTACTATGTTTTATTCTTGTATATTCTGCACTGGCTTCCCTCTTCTGGTAGGATGTCCCCAGCATGGTTGTGAGCAGTTCTGTGTTTCAGTGAAGGCTTAAGTCAGTGCTAACTTTCAGGCCTTGATATGCAAAGGGAGCAAATTTGCAGAGAATGTGAATAATACCTGTTGAAAATTAAGGGATTTTTTAAATCGAAAAGCAGTGAAGAGTAAAGACTTTTTATTATTTTTAGTCTTCAGTATGGGGGCTTAGTAATTGTAGAACTATGTAGCATGTGTATGTTGTCTTTTAAAAAGGATGTAAGAATTACTTATAGAACTTCCAAATTTACTTCCAAGAAGTTTACATTTCTGAGTATGCACCTACATTTTAAATCCACAATGTGCCTCAGTGCTATGTCTGTAGGCTAGTACTGCCTACCACTAGAAAGGTCTATTATATGTACTTTCACAATAGAGTGCTTGTACTAATTTATTCACCATAATAATTGTAATTTCTTGACATAGTCACAAAGGCTGCACTAATCAATTTGAATTGTATCAATCAGGCTTTTGCTGAAAGTGCAGCTATCCTGGCTTTTGCTAATGAAATGGATCAGCGTATGTTATGAATAGATATTTCTTTTCTTAGGCTGAAAGGAGTAAAGAAAAATTTGCATTAATATAAACACGTAAATCCATTGACTTTAATCATTCTAAGTGAAATACTGAAATGGTGATGTATTGTTTTCATTCCATATTCTATCTCTCACCTGAAGAACCAGAGTTAAGGCATTGTATGTGAAAAAGACCCTTACGGGTTGGAGAGGTCTTTAATAACCACTTCTACCTGAAGAAATTTGAGCCTATACTACCAAATATTAAGATACTTTTTTAGCCACTCTGATAGTATTTGGAAAGCAGCTGCCTGCATCTGTCTCACTGATGCTGCTCTGCTTTGTATGGAGTAGCAACATTTTCATTGAATTTGACACTAGTATCAATTTTTGGTCATTGTGTGTACTACTATTTTATGAACAGTAGGGAAGTCCTGTTCAACATTATGAATAGTTTTGTGTTAATTAAAGCCAGATATTTTAGTAAGGAATTGGATGTATTTGAAAATATTACCTAGTCCTAGCTGAGTATTTAAGTTTGCAACTACAACAGCCTTTATCTGAAAAGTGGGGCAAAGTTCTTAAGAAAAGGAGTCATTGTCTCCAACCATGCAAATGAAGACAGCGCCTCAGCTTTTCCTGCTAATTCCTCTGGATTACTTTCAAAGATGACATGCTCAGATCTGGGAAAAACAGTATTGAGTGTGCTCGTTCCCCAGGGATGTCTGCTTGACCAATGCAGGCAGACTTTTGTACCCTAAACAAACTGCATGCTAAAACCAGGTAGCCTCACTGGCATAGAGGGATGCCAATCTCTCCTCCTAACTCCTGTGGTGATGTTACCACTAAGCCACCAATCTTTGGACAACAGCCTACCTGTGTTTGGTGTGCCTGGTGTATGGGCTTCTCTGTTGTAGTTTCGCAGCCATCCTGCAGACTGCAGTGTGCGTATTTTACTAAATGAGTAGGGAATTGCAGAAAACCTCTTAGCTGATAATAAAAAGTAAGGCAGGCAAGAGACTTGTCCAAGTAAGACCTTATATTATGTAGTGGTCGCTCTTAGAAATTTCACTTGCATTTTATTTCTGTTGGAGAATATATTTAAGTCTCAGACTTCAAGGTTTTATCCTGTAATTGTGCAAATTGGGTTCTTGGGGCAGGGGAAAGTAAAATACTAAGCAGACAGGTTGATTAATGGTGTGATGCTGTAAAGACAATGTTATCTATTTTTGTGAAGACTTTAGATAAACCTAGTGGATCCTTAAAGTTATTTCCTATCATGAGACAATAAATATAGGAGAAAAACCTGTATGGTTCTCTAATTTCAAGTCTTTTGGTGAAAAAAACACTTTGCATTTGGTTTCTGTATTCCTTCATCCTGATGTGATAATCTTGCTTTTTAGCACAATGACAGATTGTCAGAGTTTTGATTTTAGGATTCAGTATAAATTTTGAAAGCCTCGTGCATCCCAACCCCAATGTAAAGTATCTATTTGTGGGTTTTTTTCCTTCATTGATAGCCTCCTTCCTCTCTTTGTTTCTTCAGAAACTCCCTAAGAAGTAGTCTCTTTAGTTTAAAAAACCACAGAACTTCAGAGGTCACAATGGACAATATGACTTTATTTTCACTTTTTTTGAAAGTACACGTTACCCACCTTCCCTTCCATTTAAATAAGTTTCTTCCTTTTCTTGATCTTATAGATCATGAAGTAGGAATTGTGGGACTCCTCAGCAATACCTTCGTTAACTATACATTATGAAAAGAACTATACATTATGAACAGAACTATTCATTGTTCTGTGTATCTGCACAGAATGGTGAGAGCTAGGGGTTTGGATTCTAGGTTACACTTCTATCAAGGATGGAGAAGGTGAAAATTTTCAAAATGCCTAGTTTTTTTTCTTTTGGACTGCAGGAGTTCTCTAATATTATATTTCTGTATACCTCAAGATGGTTAGTTTGGT